GAGACCGCCGAGCTGCCCTGCGGGTGCCAGGCAGTGAGGGCACTAGACCGTGGACCACCACCACTCTTTCAGTGACGAGCTGCAGCTTCGCCTCTAACAAGGTATCTTCCAGCAGACCACCTATCGGAATTCCTGCTGTAGGCGTGAACGCTTTGTGTTGCACGTGGCGGAGTGTGGGGCAAGACACAGGAGAGGCGCCCCAATGCCACACCTCGATGCCGGGCCCTGCCCCGGGCGAGGGCCACGCACGGCAAAATGCGCGCAGAGAGTCTCACTCTTTCGCCCCCCAGAAACGCAACAAAATCACTGCCAAGCGGCACAGGCTCTGGCTTGCTGCCCAGTGCGGGCAAAAACGACACGTGTGCTGCTCATACCCCGGCCGTTTTGCAACACGGCACCCAAGAGGGCGGGAAAGCGTTCCGCAGCGGCTGGGCGGCCCCCTGTACCAACAAGGGAGCGCTTCGTCAGAGCTAAAGTAGGCCTTCGCGAAGTACTCATTAGCCCACTCCGCTGCGACATTCAGGCCTTCCTGCGGAGCCCAGTGGAGGACACCCCGCTTGCTGTGGCGCATGGTGAGGGCGCTGCCATCGGCGAAGAAGCCATGGTGGACAAAAGGCGCCGCAGCAAGATGGGCACAAAGCAACCCCACCGCGTTGCTGAACAGGGATGGGCCCCAACGCTGTTCCCAGCGGAACTCCTCGCGCGAACGTTGCGGGGGAGGAGGTGGTTCAGCCGACGCCAACCCCGGCGTGCCTGTTACTTGGAGAATGCCGCCGGCCAGTTTACAGTGTGGCCAGCGATCGGCAGTCGCTGAATATGTAGGAGGATCTTGTCGTGGTGCAGTGCGGCAGCGGCTTTGGCGCGGTCCAAAGCTACGGGCTCCGTAGGCTCCTGCGGGGTGTTCGGGCCGGAGCCCAGATCGCTGCGGGGGGACTTGGGGCGCGAGCGGCAAGAATGCGCCCCACCAGCTTATTAAGGCAGCTGGCCAGCGCGGCAGACCGGGTGAAGCGCCGAGTCGGAAGCCTTTCCCCCGATTCAAGGGGAGTATGGTGACTCCACGGCGCCAGCTCTGTGGGGCTGTCCCCGTACAAGGCCTCCTGCTGGGGTGGCGGGGGCGCGAACCCGGGTGTTTCCTCGCCACCACCGCATACGCCCCCACAACGTTGTTCTGCTTTCTGGCGCGTAGCGAGCGCGGCGCCACCTGCCCTCACGGCGTTGCGCTCTCAGGGCGAGAGGAGCGTGCAGGCGGCGCACCGCGAGCCAGCGGCTTTTGGCAGCGGCGCCGTCCAACTCCGCCAGCTCGGGGGTCCAAAAGTCCAAAAGCGACGGCTTCCGGCGACTGTCCGCCTGGACTGCCACCTTGGCGGCCCCCCATCTGCTCGGCGTAATTCGTTCTTCTGCCCTGCCCACGTTGCCCCCATGCCCCGTGGAATCCTGCGGAGCTGGTTGGCCGTGCAGCGATCTCTCCTCCGGCTGGCCTCTCCCACGTGGACGAACTTCGGGAAGGCCCCAGTGGCCCAGCGGGGCGCGCCATCGCCCCCACAATCTTTACGTCAAATGCAATGGCGTGGTGGCTGCCGTCTGGCGGGGGCTTTGGCGCCCAATTGGGAGTGACACGGCAATGGTGTTGGGCGCCGAGCCGCAGCGTCCGCCGACCAATCCTGCGCAGCCGCCGGCGTTGGCCACCTGGAAGCCCCTCACACTGCGCCGTCGCGCACTGATCTCACCGCGGGATCCAGGTGGAGTATCGCGACCCCAACCCACTGCAGTCGCCTCGGCCCCTGCGCAGGGCAGCTTCTCCAACCCCACGCCGGAAACACCGCCAGCTCCATTCCTACCGCCATCCACAGCCCCCCGCAGGTGGGAATGGACACACTGCCGCCTCGACAGGGGCGAGCAATACCGCAGTGCCGAAACGCTGACAAGCCGAAACCGCCCGCTCGGGTGGGGCGGCGACCCGGCCCCTGCCTGAGCGAGACCTGCAACCCCCGCAACCAAGGGCCAGAACACCCCACCCACACCGCCATTAAGCAGCCGCGCGATGCGCGTCCCTGCGGACTGCACTGCAAC